AGGACTCCATTAGACCCTTATCCAGTAGATCATTGCTAAGGAGTTTTTTCTTTGTCTGTAGGTTAGTTTCTAGTAAAGTCTTTTGGTAAGCATAATTATTTTTAGGAGGTCCTGGTTATCTAAATTATATTCTGTTGTTTGTGCAAAAAGTTATGTTTAATGGGTTATTTATGCTAAAAATTAGGTCTTCAAATTTTGTTGCTATATATCCTACGAGGACTTTATCATTTTACCTTTAACATTCAGGTCTTTTATCCATTTTGAAATTGTATTTACGCATGGTATAAGATATAGATCCTGTTTTGTTTTTCTGCAATTTGTTGTTGTTGTTGTCAGGTGTCATCGAGTCGGAACCGACTCATAGCAACCCCATGCACAGCAGAATGAAACAATGTCCAATCCTGGGCCAACCTCACTACCGCTGCCACACTTGACGCCATTAACTATGTCACCTGGCTGATCCATCTCGTTAGGGGCCTTCCTCTTTTTCTCTGACCCTCCATCTTACCCAGCATGACATCCTTCTCTAGCGACTGTCCTCTCCGGACAATGTGTCCAAAGTATGAGAGACGAAGCTTAGCCATCCTGGCCTCCAAGGAGCACTCTGGTTGCACTTCTTCCAAAACAGATCTATTGGTTCTTTTGGCAGTCCATGGCACTTTTAGTATTCTCTTCCAACACCACAACTCAAAGGCATCAATTCTTCTATGATCTTCCTTATTCACTGTCCAGCTTTCACATCCATATGAGGTTATTGAAAACACCATGGCCTGGGTCAGGTGCACCTTAGTCCTCAAGCTGCAGTTTAGCCTAAATTATTTGTTGTAGAGATTGTTTCCTCTCCCACTGAATGGACTTTGACCCTTTGTTGAAAATCAGCTGTCCGTAGATAGATGCATTTACTTCTAGATTCTTAATTCTGCTTTATTGCGCTATGTATCTGTCACTGAACTAGTACCGTTGTGATTATTGTGGCTACATAGTAATATATGGAGTGCTAGTGTGGCGCTGGAGAGTAAACACTGGACTGCTAATCAAAAGATTGGCGGTTCAAACCCACCAGCAGCTCCTTGAAAACCCTATACAGAGTCACTATGAGTCGGAACCAACTTAATAGCACTTAACACAGCAATATGTAACTTTTTTTCAGACGAACTACTATTTCATTTCATGTTCTTTTTAAACTAACAAATCATGTATAACCAAATATTAAAATACTTATAATTTTAGGACAAGCAAAAGAGATTTCAAATAGAAGGTAAAGAAGTTGATATAATTAGACAGGCAATGGTTCAGCTGCTCAGTCTGAACTGTCACTTCCCTTTCCACTGGTTTCATTTGACTTCCTTGGTTAAAATACTCCTAATATACATGGTATTTCAGTAAAGATTCCCAGCACTTGCAAAGACTTGTTAGGCAACAGAAATTACTTCTTCACTTTCATAAGACAGTAAAGAGAAGAGAAGTACTGGACTTAAAATATGAAACAAAATTAAAGTGGGTGATGGTGGTGGACATGTGCCATGGAGTCCATTCTGACTCATGGTGACCCTGTACAGGGTTTCTGACGCTGTAAATCTTTACGGGAGCAGAAAGCCTCATCTTTCTCCCACAGAGCAGCTGGTAGTTTCAAACTGCTGTCTTTGCATTTAGCAGCCCAACCCACTATCTACAAGAGCTCCTTCTAAAGTAGGTATATGCATATGAAAAGCAGAAGTAAACAATACAGGGTATCAATTTTAGCCATTTGGAAATGTTTAAAGAGTAAAATGTGGATATTCTGTGATTTTTAGGTGCTTTGTCTAGGTGCTAGCTATGTTTAGAAGTGTCTACTGAGTACTAGGCACTAAGCTAAACACTTTGGGTTTCTCTGATTTAGAGTTTAATAATCCTATTGACGGGTATTATCTGTATTTTAATTGTATAGAAACTAAGAGGAACCAAAGATCAGGCAGTTAAATAACTAGATCATGTTAAACAGCTGGGAAAGGGAAGCAGCAACAAAGCAGCTAAGCTCGGAATCTTGATTTAGTCATCATCAAATCCCATTCTTTTTCCACAGATAACGTAGAGAATGTGCATCAAAGTCCACAAAATGAAGTCGCTTTGCCCTTTTTGGACGATTCTTTTAAATATATGCATCATTTCGAGAACAGCTTATGCTAAACATGACTTCATAAACAAATCATTTGTGAAAGGAAAGAAACCACATCCAGGGTAAAGTCATGAGTTAAAAAAAAACCCTTATTCTGAGTACTTCCTGAAAGAGAAGAGGGGAACCAGTACTATCATCTCCTTTACCTAGTGTTACATTTGAAACAACATTTTAAAGCAACAGAGCGCTAGAGACAAAAATAATATGGAGTGTTGTAAATGTATCATTTGTACAAGGAGTTATTTCAGTACAAGCTATCCAAGGCGAACTCTTTTACAGAACTGGGCAAACTGACAAATGAACATCTCTGTGAGGGACAAGAGGTAAGCAGCATTTAATTAACTTCATCATAGATAATGGGGTTACAACGAAGGCTTCACTTACTATGGATTAAAATAATTGCTTTGTTTTAATAAGATTAACATAACTGAAACCATGTTGGTGAAAGATCTTCAAATGAATTTTACTGTCATCTTTCCATATTGTTAATATGATTCTTCATTTGTTTTCAATATTGTTTTCCATTATTAAATGTATTTTTTTTCTACATATCTAATTAGGGTTTGCCATCACATGGTTCCAACTGCATTGTTTCATAAAATGTACTTAAAAGTTTTTAAAGGGGGGTGAGGGGACCACAGATAATCGTCTTTTAAAATGAAGGTATGAACGCTAATGGCTTTTCAGTACTTTTCCAGAAAGGTTTGTGTGTACAGAACACAACCTCTACTGGTAATGCATTTAACACACAAGCATTCCTCATATTTTTTTCAATCAATGCAAGAGCTGGTGGCAAATATGCTACGTAAACAGAAGCTTGTGAAGAGGGTGGATAGAGAGTGTTCTGATACAATATTAAAATAAAGAAAAAAGAATACAAAGTTTAATTTGCAGTACAACTGCAGTATTAAAAAATACCACTGAGAGTTAAAAAAGAGTCGAGCCTCTAAAAGCTTCCTCCTCTCTGTGATACTAGAGATTTAACTTTTCTGTGCAGCATTTTCATCATTTGATAGAAATTAATATTCTAGTCATAGCAATAGCTGAACGCTATAATTAAATGAGCCTTTTAAATATGCAGAATTGTATTCCAAAATCTTATTTGCCCTAAATATTTGGCAAACTAGATTTTGGTTTTGGGGGGCAAAATAGAGAAAGGAAGGGAGGAAGAGGAGCGGGGGGGCTATGCCTGTCCACAGCAGTTGTCTAAATTAATTCGTAATTACCAACAGCACATGACGCCACTGATCACCTGCTACCGAACACTCCCACAGTCAAGAGAGCTTCAGGGCTGAATAGAGACTACAAACCCAATCTGCAAAGTGATATTGTTTAAGGGAAACTTTTCATATACCCCCATATTTCAAGGGCAGCCAAAATTTCATCCGTTTGTACTGTCTATTTCTGAAACCGCTGTTGGCACTGCAACAAAGGTGTTGGAAATTGAGCACCAAGGGATCAGTGGTATTTATGTAAAGTGGCAACTAAATTCCTTCCCTTTAAAAATAGACATTTTTTGGGTAATGGGAATTAGATTCTGCATACACATCATGTAACTTCTTAATATTTGCCTTTGATCTTCCTTTTCAAAGTTTAGTTTGACAAATAATACTTAAGTTTCTCTAGGTAGAGTGAGGGTATGAAAAGTTATTATACTGACAATATATTATGAATCAGCATCCTTAGGAACTGTTGTTTTCTGGGTACCACTGCAGCAGATGATATCAGCTTCTTGGGCCCAGATAAACCCAATCTGGAAAACTCGATGGGCAGTGCTCTCAACTGTGCATTATAAAAATGCTCCCTTATTGCTCTAAGTGTTGAGTTCTTGACCTAGAGACTGTGGTATAAGACAAAGCTGTTTCTAGACTTATGATCATTTATAGAGAACAGAAGAGTCTACTTTGAAAGAAAAGTTTCCCAACAAAAACACACAAACAAGAAAGGTTTAATGGCTAACTATGCAAGGTTCCTTCCTTTTCTCATTCCATCAACTCAGCAAATATTTACAGAGTACCTACTATGTGCTCAAAGTAGTAGGCAAAAAGAGAAAGTTTTGGACCTCAAGTGAAAATCTCTATGAATATTCCCTGATTAACCAGTTGTGTTAAATTATTTTTAACCTTTACTAGTTTTCTAATGCATATTTTATATATTGGTTATATTTAATGAGTAAAAATTAATTATTAGGACCTTGATATTCTGTGTTACAAAATGTTTTAACAGAATGAAGATGCTAAAAAGAGGCAAACTATTTTATAACAATCAATTCAGAATGGTGGTCTCCCAATTCACCCAAATCAAAGAATGCTTATTATCAGAACAATTGCTACTAATTTCACACTACAGAAACAAAAATCATGAAGAGAAAGGGAGAAGGGAAGTGGGCAGAGGGAGACAAAAATGAGTAAATGTGTGCTCTATGCTACTCCATTTTTAGAGGTTGGCAGTGTTTCACTCTGTTGTGCATGAGGTTGCTAGGAGTCAGTACCAACTTGATGGTCCAACTAACAACAAAATTAGTAATAGTTACTAATGGCATATATTAATAATATACAATATCTGTGTATATTTCTTAACAGATATTGTTGTGATTAGGTGCTGTCAAGTCAGTTCTGACTCATAGCAAACCCTATTTACGACAGAACAAAATACTAACACACAAATATTGGCTCTCAACAATAAACTGCTCTCAAAATTTATGTTCACTGACATGCCCAGCTTAGTGTGAGAACTCTGTCTTCACAGTTCAATGTTTCTCTATATATGTGTGTATTCCTTCTATATTTTTTAACTTTTTTTTTTTTTTCAGTTTCTAAGATCATGTCTACCAACAAGATATAAGATGACCACCCCAAGCAATCGAGATCAACCTATTGTGACCAACAACTCACATCCAGATGAATACAAGATTGCTGCCCTTGTCTTCTACAGCTGTATCTTCATCATTGGATTATTCGTTAATGTCACCGCATTATGGGTTTTCAGTTGTACCACCAAGAAGAGAAATACCGTAACAATCTACATGATGAATGTGGCATTGCTGGACTTAGTATTTATACTGAGCTTACCCTTTCGAATGTTTTATTATGCAAAAGGTGAATGGCCATTTGGAGAGCACTTCTGCCAGATTCTTGGTGCTCTCACCATATTTTACCCAAGTATTGCTCTGTGGCTTCTTGCTTTTATTAGTGCTGACAGATACATGGCCATTGTACAGCCAAAATATTCCAAAGAGCTGAAAAACACAAGAAAGGCTGTGCTCGCGTGTGTGGGAGTCTGGGTAATGACTCTGATGATCACTGTCCCCCTGCTATTTTTACATAAAGACCCAGACAAGGCCTCCATCCCTGCCACGTGCCTGGAGATTTCTGACATTATCCACTTAAAATCCATCAAAGTATTGAACTTCACTCGACTGATCTTTTTTTTCCTGCTTCCTCTGTTCATCATGATTGGGTGCTACTCGGTCATAATTCACAGTCTCTTTCATGGAAGGACATCTAAACTGAAACCGAAAGTCAAGGAGAAATCGATCCGAATCATCCTCACCCTTTTGGTGCAGGTATTGGTGTGCTTTGCGCCTTTCCACATCTGTTTTGCTTTCTTAATGCTGGCAGGAGAGGAGAGTGGCTACAGTCCTTGGGGAGCCTTCACTACCTTTCTCATGAACCTCAGCACCTGCCTCGATGTGATTCTCTATTACATTGTTTCAAAACAATTTCAAGCCAGAGTCATTAGCGTCATGCTGTATCGCAATTACATACGGAGTGTGCGTAGAAAGAGTTTTCGATCAGGTAGCTTACGGTCACTAAACAACATAAACAGTGAAATGCTCTGATGAACTGGAATGTTTGGTGTATTTTTTCCAATCTCTTTAAAAATTACTTCATAACTACTCTAGGGCCAGGCAGAAGGATATTTTGTATGATATTAGCACATCCTTTCTCTCCTGGAGGCAAAAATAAACCTTAAAAAACTCTTTTTGTGGGATTTTACTTCTTTGTGGAAACATTCATTTAGTGAATAAACTCTTTTTATTTTTAAAAGAAGTGGCTAAAATTACTGGGTTGGGGTTGGATTGTAAAGGCTTTGAAAGTAAAGAAAAAAACCAACACATTGGAGGTTCTACTGCTAGGTTCATTGTATAAGTGATTTCATCTTCTCTGCTGCTGTGACAGGCAAGGTTTTGTGTCAAATTGGCCAGCATTCTCAGTAGTTCGGTAATTAAGATGTAGTTAACCCCCATGATGATATCCAATATAATGTAATCAACTCTATGATGAGCTCTGCTATGAGCAGCCAATCAGCTGACAGGAGGTTTCCTCAGGGGTGTGGCCAGCTTCCTATATATTGGACACTGGGACAAAGCTTTCCTGCTTTCTGGGGGATCTGGAGCCTGCCTCGGGCTCACCATCCGATCTCCAGTTCTCGAACTTGAGTTTGTGGCCTACTTTATTACCTGCCAATCCTGGGAGGCATCAGCAGCCAGCCATCTTACCTGCCCGACCTGCCCGTCTGCCATCTGACCTGCCAATCTTGGTTCATCTGAGCCGCGGACTTAAGACGTGCCCACCCGTACAACTGTGCAAGCCATTTCCTTGACATAAACTTGTCTATTCTCTGACATAAACTTATCTAATCTTTAGAGAACCCAGCCTAAGACAATAGCCCTAAAAATTATACAGTTGCTGTTGTTAAGTGTCATCGAGTCAGTTCCAACTCGCAGCGACTCTGTATCGGGTTTCCAGGGAGTGCCTGGTAGATCGGAATCACCAACCTTGTAACAGTCCAGAGCTTAACTTACAGTGCCAAACCAAGACTCCAAAAAATGTAGAGAGGCAGTGAGTAATCCAAGTATAAAGTGACATCAGGAAATGGAATTTGAGAGAATTAACTTGCTCCACATCACACTTATCAGTGGCAGAGATAGAATCACTACTTTGGACTGTCTGATAGCAAAGCCCTTCCCAGTATTTGAGGGTGCCTGATGGCATCTCAGAGAAGTCTTATCTTTATTCTGAGAGGAATGAGAACTCACAGACTTTTACAAGAAGACCGGCACAGGCAGTCCTAGTACTGTAGAAAGTTTATGACCTAGACTGGGTTCTCTAGAGATGCTGAACAAGTAAGAGAGAGAGAGAGAGAGATAGGTAGGTAGAAAGATAGATAGGTAGACAGGTAGGTAGATAGACAGATTAGATGACAATGAGCAGAATGCAGGATCCAAAACAAGCCAGCACGCTTTGCCAGAATACTCACAGATATTGGATGCAGATGACATCCCCAAGAAAACTCCTCTTACAGATGACTAGCTGATAACAGCAAATCACATTATGGAAGTGATTACATTATCTTACATCATAGAGAATCAGCCAGTCCAATGACTGTCAAACTACTGAATCATACATAACCTAATCAAAGTGACATGTGATATTAACCATCACCTTCCACACCTATACACATCTCTCCTTCAACCATGAATAATCTCTAAGTGAAGATCATTGTAAGGTCAGACTTGTGCCTAACGTGAAACAACTACCATATGTTCAACTGCACATGCACTAGCCCCATTCATAACTTATATTTGATAAGACTGAAGAGTAGGTAGATGTATTGCCCCAGCAGCAACATTCCCCATCCCAACACTGCCACAGTGGTGGCTTTCCTGTACAGGTAGGAGCGACCACTGCCCTGTCCTTCCTGGGTCATTGAGCCAAAGAGTCTTTCTGGCGGATTCTAGGTGCTCTGAAGGGGACAAAGATTGGGTTGCTGCCTGGCAGGAATATTTCAGCAAAGAACTGAGGTTCCACGTGATAAGAAACTAGGAGGAGTGTTCACAGTATACTTGAGGAAAGAATGAATGCAGTGTGGTTGGGCGATGGTTGGAGAAAACTACAGAAGGCGGGAAAATCTGAGCAGACCCAGGATAAGCAGGAGTTCCCCATGGCTGTGGGGTCAGAAGGACATTTCAGAAGAAGAAACAGCACCATGAGTAGAGTAATAGGGAGGCAGGGAAGGTTTTTTAAAATGTTGAATAACTGAGACATTTTCTCATAGAAGTGGTTATCTGAAATTTCCAGAAGTTCCCACCTACCACATCCCCCATAAAAGGATTTTGTTTTAAAGTTCATGTTGGGAGTTTTGGGAGGGAGGAAGAATGGTGGAAATGGGTAGTAGGAAGGGGAGGGTCCAGTTCTAGAACAAAAGAACCCAGGTCATGTTAAGAAGACAAGCCTGGATGTGCATGTCAGCCTCCATCCTCTGTCCTCCATCCATCCCTCTATCTCTCCACCTGCCAGTCTTTCTGAGGAGTGCATCCATGGGACCACAGGTGGCCACCTGGAGCCATGTGCTGCTCTGTGAGGCTCCTGAGAGCCCAGCCTGCATCACTGCTCTGATCAGGTGCTGGGTCAGACAGGACAGAAATACATGTGGTTGACTCCAGTCCGGGAAGGTGGAAGCTAGCCTACCTCTAGACAGAGTCTCAGGGTGTGTGCTCGTCGTGTGCCACTTCATCCTGTGCTACAGACAAAGACACAGGACTTCTGACAACAAATACCTTCAGATAACAAATGGCAGCTGAGTGAGTGCCACATTCTAGGCACTTAATTTGATAACTCTGGAGTCTTGGTGTGGTGCTACAGGATAAAGCACTAGGCCGCAAGGTCACTTTGAACTGCAAGGTCGGCGGTTCAAACTCACTAGCCATTTCTCAGAATTCTTATACAACAACAAATACGATAAACAGTGCAACAGGGGAAGAAAGAGAACAAAAATATTTGTTATTATTTTAAATATACACATAAAACAAGGAAGAAATACTCATAACAATTACAGTCCTTGTTTCTGTAACTGGTCACGCGATTGTAGCTGGTATTTAGAACCACCTTTGTCTACCATACATTCTGTTTTTCCTTCGCTCTCAGCAAGTATCTCAAATGATCATGGTTCTTTGCTAGGTGGGCTTATCCAAACCTTCATTCCTGAAGTGTAGGCAATTCATAGTCATGTCGGAATTGGGTTGCCATAGTGTTCCATTAACTTAAACCACAAGGTAAGGTAGTACTAACACTAAGAGCTGCCCGAAGGGACTGCCTGTATTCTACACAGACACTTCTTTACCTCCATCATGTGATATCAATCTGATTTTCCTTGGTGATCAAGATTAATCACACCAGTTAATATGATAACTCCTTAATCTGCCTTTTAATACAGAGGCATGAAGAGCCCAAAGTGGCTGGGTGCCACCCTTAATTTCAATTGCATCAGTGTTTTGTGTCCAGGTCACTCCTCCCTTTGGAACTAACACCTCCAAATCCACAGAGCACAGCGTCATGGAACAGGAAGTAAAGCTTTGCCAAGTGGGTCACAAGGGGTAATAGTGAGAGATACCCTTCCCATTTCCACCCTTGATTCCTGGACCCATAAATCTGGGTTATGGGAGAAACAGCACCACGTACTGGATGTAGTTTACAGCATACACAAGGGAGCATCAAAAAGTTAGTGGAAAATGGTATTAAAAGATAACAGAATTTTTCCAAGAACTTTTTAAAGCCTCCTCTTACAACTTCAGGGAGAACACTGCTCCAACCCTGCAAGATATTGTCACCCAGCTGGTGCCATAATTATACCTTTAGAGGTCAGCCTATCATTCTATCAAGCCAATTGCTTCAGGATGATGGAGAATATGGTAAGATCGGTGAGGTGAATTTCATGAGCATGGGCCCACTGACACCTCACTTGCTGGGTCCCTTGATCTGAGGTAAAGCTATGTAGGGTGGCAGCATGAAGATGGATAGAACATTCTCTAAGCCCATGAATGGTAGTTTGGGCAGAAACACTGTGTGCAAGGAAAGCCAATTCATATTTAGCTTAAGTGTCTCCAGAACAACATGCTGCCCTTTCCATGGTGGAAATTAGTCAAATACAATTATCATGCCACCAAGTTACTGGCTGATCACCTCAAGAAATGGGATCATGGGACGTCATGTTAGTCTCTGCTGTTCGCCAATTGAGCACTCAGCAGTGGCTGTAGCCAAGTCAGCCTGGACTGGGTGGAAGTCTGTGTTACTGAGCCCATGCACAACCGCCATCCCTGCTACCATAGACCACAGCCATTCTGTTCATAAGCCCACTGAGCAATGACAGGAGTAGCTGAGAAAAGAGGCTGATGGAATCCACAGAATATGCCATCCAATCCAAATGATGGCTAAAATCCTCTTCTGTCGAGAAGAGAACATTCACATGACATCTGAATATCTTCACTTCTTTGTCTAATTCAGAAAGATCACTCCACATTCCTCTTCCCCATACCGCCTTGTCACCGATTTTCCAATCAGATTCCTTCCAAGTCCCTGATCAGAGCCAAACCATTGGCCACAGTCCATGAAACAGTATATAATCACATATCTGGACAACTCTTCTTCCAGGCAAAATGAACAATCAGGTACACTATTCCAAATTCTCCCCACAAGGAGGATTTCCCTTCAGGGAGGTCCCAGAAAGAGTCATCTGTAAACCAGGCACGAGCTGTCTCTTCCTCAGTCAACTGAGTCCAATGAACTCCCTATGAGGCCAAAGGTGAAGACTGGGAGATGGAAGGCAGTATGGCAAGAACGGGGGCCAGGCATTTGGGCCACTTCCTCGTGCAACTTATTTGTGCGTTGAGGTCCTGTTTGAACCTAATCTTGTGTACATCACTTCCATTTCACGATGAAGCGCTGCTGTACACAACTAAGTTTATGACTCTGAGGGTCAGACAATACTGAGTTCATGATGAGCAGCTCTGGCTGCATTGTGACTTGAAGGCCATGGTTAAACCTCTACTAAGGCCCAGTAACAAACCCAAAGCTGTTCTTCAAAAGCAGACAAGTCATCTGTAGAGAATGGCAGAGCTGTACTCCAAATTTCTAAGGGTCTACGCTGTGATTCATTAAAATGGGTCTGCTAACCATCATCTCTATCTGCCACTGATACTTCAAGCACCACTGGATCAGCTAGAACTGGGGAAGTCACTAGAGGAGGGAGGGGTTCAGGGCCCCACTGGCCCCACTGTGAGACAGACCTAAGTTAATATTCTGAACTGTACATACTCCTACTCTGACTGGTGCCACAGTTAGGGTTTTGGAATCTCTGAAGTAATGTCAGTTCAGAGCCCAAAAAGGTCTGATTATTTCCTTTTCCCCAATGAACAATCACTCTCATAAAAGGCCCTAGATCCCTCTGGGAAAGGAGCAAGAGTATACATTTGCGGCAGTATAATGGGATCTTTTCTCAAGGAGACTCAGCCTTCCCTTCATTCATTCTATAAACTGGCTCAAGTCCAGTGATTGATTAAGGTGCCATGGCTAGCCTCTGGCAATTAAAATTACACTGCTGTTCATTTGACCTAGAATTCTTCCACTTTACAGAGCAAATAAATATTTAGACTTCCTATCTATTTTACTCCTAGAGACACCATAACTAAGTAGTCAATGCCATTGTTGTTGTTGTTAAGTGCCGTCGAGTCGATTCTGACCATAGCAACCCTGTATAGGGTTTTCAAGGAGCAGCTGATGAGCTCGAACCACCAACCTTGTAGCTCAAAAGACTTTACAGTCTGACACATTAGCCCACAGCACCCCACCAGGATTGTACTCAATGCCATAGGTCCATACAAATCAGACTTTTCTGATTACTGCTTTGACTTTACTGTCCATTATAGTAACTATGTCCACCTTGTCTGTGAATCCAACATGATATACCCACTTCAACATGTCGATCTCTCTAAGTTTTGAGATACCTTCTTCGATGGCATATCAAGGCAGGTCCACCAAGGCATTTCAACGTCACAGAGATCATCACTTAAACCAAGCTTCAGCAAACCAACCCAATAAACTGATCCGATGTGATCAGCCTCCATTTTCATATAATGTCAATCTTTGTATAATGACTTGGTCTTTGGAACCGAACCATGTCGGTTAAGTGGTGCATAATTACCATGAATCTAAGTCAGCAACAATTTCAAGGCAATTATGTCACATAACTTGATCAGTCTCCATTTCAATATTATTCAGAACCATTCCTTATTAAAGCAGCTAAGGGTCAGCACTCATGCCAACTATAATTTGGTTGATCCCTTTAAAGGCATCTATAACATCATAAATATTACCAATTCAACTATGAAATTAGGACATAAATTATATTTGTTAAGTAGGGGTCCAAAGAGAATTTGAATTAAGATAAATACAATCAACCAATAGTTCTCAAAAACTATCATTAAAATTCAAATAACACTATAGTACACAGAACTTTAAAAACCTATATTTCATACTATCTCATCTCCTAAATACAGCCCTATATTCTTAATTCAGAAATTATTTAAGGTTATTGATTTGTGCTAACAACTCTGCTCTGAGATAGTAGTTATTTCAGGTAATATACATCCATTCTCTTTTGTTTTGCTTTTCCCCTAAGAATACAACACAATTTGAGAACATATATTCTGAATTAGGTTGGCTATAAAATTTTAACTTATATACTTACTTTGTGTTACCTTTGGTGACAGTACACAAACAATATCATTCTTTTTTTAAAAGCCTTCTTTAGAAGTTTAACTTCAAATTATTTTGTTTCCTAAACTAACATAATGACCTTATGTACTGTGCTGTACTGTGTTAATTTAAAAATTACAAAACAAAAGTTTACTATAAAAACAAATGAAATTAATTTTATCATCAGGACCATAATATGAGGTCATTAAGAAACTGTCTAAAATATGGATTTCAGATCAGGAAGACGAGTCAAAGTAAAATTGATTTTGTATCAAGAACATAATGAAAACATAAGCATAACCTGGACTTTTTTACACACAAGATCAATTTTACTAGACCTGAAATTTTAAATTACTCTTTTACTGATCCTCATGTGCAATGATGCCTTAGACGCTTTAAGTCGTTTTAAATGAAGCCAATCTTTAAGAGCTACTTACAATCCAGAAGGCAAACTACTGGCTGCGGTGATACCCAATGAGACCTGCATAGCTTCAACCAGGATGAAGTCAAACAAGGCTGACAGAACCCAGGAACCCAGCAAAAAGGACTAGACAATAAAACAGGAGACATTTATATAAACGAGGCTCCAAAAAAGGAAACTTATTTATATAGTTTGAACCAGCTACATATATTTTTTTTAAAAAAGTTTGTTGCTATTAGAACAAGTTTGTCAGAATGAGGGAATAATAACTTATCGTTCAAGTACATTAATTTCCATAGTTTCTAAGTGTGTTGAAGATATAACATTTACAGTGCCATCATTTTTAACAAGTTAAACAAAAATCACTAAGCAAAATAAGTGATTCGAAGTTTATTAAAATCAGTCCTGGTTAAAAATGTTACTACTCATTCACATTCAATATTATTCAATTATTATCATATTATTTTGCTATGAAAATGGTTTAAATTTTTCTTTTTTTTCTTTTTTTTTTTGCTAATATCCATGCTCCAAATCAGATCTAGGATCATATACTTTAAAAGAATCATAAATAAGAACACTAGCTCTAACAAAAATAAGTCTATTTTAAAATAAATTTTTAAGAGTTTTTTTTTCTATAACCTACACAGGAAAGGCAGAACACATTAAAAACTTACTGCAAATTTTCTGCTCCCATATCTTCTTTCAAATATTCTAAAATTATAAATAAGCAGACTACTGCAGAAAGTATCTTTCAAATCAAGGCAGATTACTCTTCCACATATCAACCTCCAAATCTAGATGGGATTTAAAAAAAAAACAATAAATCAAAGTTCAAAACTGCTTAGGTTTCTTCTTTAGAAAATTTACTGTATTTATTTTATATGGCTTATTTGTTATATTCCAATTTTAAGCAAAATATTTATATGCACACAAAACGAAAACTACATTTATGTTTTCCAGAAAATAACCGCTCAAGTCTTCCATTAAAAAAAATTCCTACAAAGCACAAAGGCTAATTTTTAAAGTTTTGTTTATTATAGTAAGAAACTGTATTCTCACTAAGATAACACAAAACTGACTATAAAACATTTTTTAGGATTGTATTTACTATGGGGGTGGTGGTGGTTGTATTCCACTGAGAAGATTCCAACTTATGTTGTTGTTGTTGTTGTATTTAAGTGCCTTCTAGTCGGTCCCAATTCACAGCGACCGTGTATAGGATTTCTGATGCTGTAAATCCCACGGAGAAACTGGTAGATTCGAACTACTGACCTTGGGTTGGAAACCCAGCTCATAATCTGCTAGACTAGCAGGACCCCTTTGTACTTATCATAAGATAAATATTTTAAATTATACACAACAGCTAGAATGAAATGCTATGAAGTATTCATTTTTAAATTGTAACTGGAAAATAATTTAGTATAAATCCAAAAATGTGCATTTCTGAGCTTAAATTTTAACGATCAACTTACTTTATAGCAACGGTATGCTACTGTAAGATAAAACACTGGAACACAAAGTTGGGTTAAACCACAAGGTCAGCAGTTCAAACTCACCAGCCACTCCTGGGAAACCATATTTGGCATCTCTGACTCAGAACCGACTCGATGGCACTTAACAACAACAACATTACTAAATATAAGGAGGCTTCAAAAAGTTCATAGGAAATACTCCATTTTTTCTTAATTCTGTTTTTCAACAAACTTTCTCCCTCAGAAACTCTCTGATTCTGTGGGGCAATGACAGTGAAGCTTTGGGTCAGCATGTGAGACAATCAACATCATCAAATGAGGTGACATCTGTGAGCAAACTTTGCAAGTAAGCCATCAAACACTTTACAAATGGATGTGATGTCACCTTTGTGGAACAGCAGATTGAGAAATAATGGGAGATGGTCCTGAGGCCTCCATCACTACATTATGTAATAATGAAACACACGGACTCGACTCAGGAAAATCAGAGGGGTTAAAGAAGACTGTTGTTGTTGAGTGCGGTCAAGTCCATTCCAATTCATAGAGACCCTGTATAGGGCTTCCAAGGAGCGATGGTGAATTTGAACTGCCGACCTTGAGATTCAACCACACTGTGGTTCAATGTATTGTCCCACAACACCCCATTCAGGACCCCAAAAGAAGACTATGATGATGAAAATATAACAAAATTGGGTTTGTAGAACCCCATTGGTTGGATGTTGGTTTTGCATTTTTCCAAGTTAATGAAAAACTGGTAGGTAGCTACTGGCACTGTGGATTAGAGGTTGGGCTTCAACGCTGGCGGTTAAAATGCACCAGATGAGTCACAGGAGTGAAATGAGGCCATCCGCTCCCATAAAGATGTACAGCCTCAGGAACCCGATAGAGCTGCTACAAGTCAGAATAGACTCGATGGCGGTGATTTTCTTTGTGTGTTAGAAGGTGGGACATTTAAAAATAACCTGTGTTTTATAACTACACTCAAGTCCACAAAACCTGGAAAACATAGTTTAAGAATAACCATTGTGGTAAACAATACCACAGAATACCAGGTAAAACAGATCCAGGGCAGAGCTCCAAAACTCAGAACCACAGAGATAGGAATATTTAAAAGGTTCGAAGGCTTATAGCTATTGGAACTTATAGCAAAAGTAAGAAATCGCATACTTTAGAATCTGCCGGGCTTGGCTCGGCGGACGGGAGCCGACAACTTGGGCGAAACCACGCGGCAAGACCAAGCGGGGTAGCAGACACACCTGGAAAAATGCCCTGGGAACCTCAGAGCAAAGGTGGACAACCCGCTTTGTCTGTTTTGTTTTGCTCTGATTTTTTTTTTTTTTCTTTGTATCTATTCACTGCCCCCCACCCCCACTGTTTGAGTACCTCCATTCTGGTGACTAGAGGGACACCCCCTCACCCTCACCACTGGTGGGTTCTTCTGCCACACATGTGCATACATACACT